ATATTTTAACCCCTTGACAGACAGAGTTAGAAAAACTTACAGCAATTTTCTGTCAGCAGATTAATAACTTGACAGTAGAAATAGTTTCTATTCACTCCCAAAGGATTTATTCAGATTAAAACAATGTTAAACCAATCCCTACTTATATTTTATTTTGCTTTCAAATTAGTCTGATGAGCATCCTACTCACAGAAAACTACCTTCACTAGAAAAATTATACATACACGTTTATAGAGTAGAAGAGTTTATACACGCACTTATCTTCCTTCCTGGGCTTGACTAGTTGGAATACCTGTCATGTCAAGCCTGGGAAATGCTCCTAGTACTCTGTGTACATGGAATATGAATTGTAACCAATAAGCTCCTCCTCTGTGGAGCATGGGTGGTGAACAAATGCAACCAAAACAGCTCATCGCTTACAGAAATTTAATCCACTGTTTTTACCTGTACTGCTGTAGCACCAAGGAGTCCCCAGCATTTCAGGGCTCTGCTTTATAGAAATGTACAGAAAACACACAAACACAAAGGTAAGAGGCATGGAGCAAGCAAAATAAATGAACTAAGACCATACAAGGGCAGGTGACAAGAAGCAACACTATGTCAGGGCTTGTATAGACCAGTTTTTAGGCAAGTTCATGAAACCTAACATGAATTTTATGTAGAATAAATACTTGCAAAGTTTAAAATATCACACATATAAAGGGCAAAATCCAAATAGGTTTTCAGGTTTACATGTTCTGACTCTCAGTTTCAATTAAGCAAATCTCCCAAATAGGTGGTTAAATAAAAATTTACTGTAAATACTGAATTATAAATATTATAGTATTTTAAATAGTGAATTTGCAAGCTTAAGCAAGTGACTGCTTTCAGGACTATTTTCTCTCCAGAAGTCATCAACAAATTACATTTCACTCTCTAGCTGCGTAAGACAAAACAGAGGCATAGAACGGTGTGGGCTGGAAAGGAACTTAAGATCACCTAGTTCCAACCCCCTCTGACACGGGCAGGGATGCCTTACCCTAGACCACGTTGCCCAAGGCTCTGTCCAATCTGCAATCCTATCCAAAAGGTACCAGATTTCAGAGGATGACCTTTGCAATCAACATGATACCAAGCAAGACTCCCACCAAGCCAATTCATTCCGTATGTAGCTTTATATTAAAAAGCAATTGATCTAATTTCAAGATCAAGATTTTATGTAAATCTCTAATAACAGGCAGTTATCATGGGTATTCTTTCAAATACTGTTGCAATAACTTTTCTAAAACCATTATTTAACAACATTGTAGGCCACCAAAAAGACAACGTATTGCACTGAGCTGAGCTATATAATGATAAATTACATGTAGACTAAAGCAATATAAATAATAGTAACAAGGAATGCAACTTATCTTAATCTATTCTATGTAGAAATAAAGGTCTCACTACAGCTGAACAATGAATTATTCTTGCAGAACTACTCCAAAAGTTTCTCTGCTTTCCCACTGCTTTGTATCTAAGAGCGTGCTTCAGCAACCCTGATGCCCATGCTTAAGCTTTTGGTTTATACCAGTTTACAGTCAATAAATGTCACCTCATAACTACTGTACCCTCTAGAAAAGCTGAGAGGTCTGAGAACTACACTGAGTTCTAGGCAGGGAAAGTCTGCAGACTGGTGTCTTACAGTTTCCAAATTCATTGGCATGGGATCCTGTGCAGGCATGCATATGTGAACAACGCCTACCATATTATGCAATGGCCAAAAGTGCAAATAAATAGTCATGTCACCCTTGATTCAGTAATAAGCTGTGCGTACCCCCGTGTTTGTAAAAATGGTAGAGAATCACGGCACAGGATGGAATGGTTACCAGCACCCTGGCTATTATATCTTGCTACTGAAAACATTAACTAGAACGACAAATACTCAGCTGTATTGCAGTTTTTCCACTTCTTTTTTTGTGAGTTTGCACTCTAATATTCATAGGAGAAAGAATGATGTCATTTTATTAACCTTATAACAGCTTTCTGCCAACAGAAAAAACAAAAACATTGGAATGACCATCTGGTGTGAAGTTTCTGTTTCTCTTAAAAACACGCCTGTATTTTCTGTTGCTCAAGACACCAAGGGCAAAAAAAATAAATACCTGCTTCTGACAAATTTTACAGCACTGAAATGAAAAAATAGATATAAAATACAATTCAGCTAATTAATATTTGGAAATGTCAACATGAAAATAGTGTATGGTCTGGAGCTCTTCATGTATGTATGTGTAGCATCCAACCTCAGGAGTTTCAGAGCAGTACCCTTCATAGAGCAACTGCACTTTCTCTTGGGGCACATTATACCCCAATCACACTTTCTACTGCTGCTGGGTACTTTAAAATTGAATTTGTAGGCAGAAATCCCTGCTCCATGAATATACGAGTAGTATATATTAAAAACAACAAAAATATATTTTTCTCTCATGGTGTCACATTTTGTTTAAATTCTGAAGAGAGCTCCTCCTCTTGTGCTTTTGTATTTCATAGGCCTCTACTGCTTAATAAACCTCCACGAAAGTTACAGATTTTTAATTATGATAAAATAGTGGAAGTGGGCTGCTTTCTACCTTTACTAGGCCATTTTTAGAACTGAGTGCCTGCAACATCAGCTGCAAGGAATGAATCAAGGAATAAGAAAAAGCAAAATAGAAGAGGTTATTCAGTGTAAGAGTTAGACTAAAGGCTTCATGTCAACAATATGGTTTTTATGAAAAGAACAAAATAGACTAAGCTGAAAATCGTAAGACCCAACAGAGAGATCCAGTAATGAGAAATTCCAAAACTGTGTAGAATGTTTTGGGGGGAAATCTGAGAATTCTTACACCACCCGTTTATACTGGGTTATCTCCATGGCATCAGCTGAGTTTGACATGCATCCATCAGTAAAAAAATACAGAATTCCTACGTTGTCTGAATCTAATATTACTCCCAGTAGATCTTTTACAAACAGTTGTCTTCTATGTGGCTCCAGTATAGGATAGTAACAACACCATTTTCTTGTTGAAACAATTTTTATTGAGGATTTTTTAAGATTTATTGTTGTAAAATACTGAAACGTAACAATTATGCTAAAGAATTTCTCAGAAGTACTGCTGAAATAGACTACCATAGCATCAAATTCAGTGCAGTGCTATGTAGCAACTATTCATAACATAATTCCTGGCTGTTGTTTTTAAATATAAATATCTCTAATGTCTTCTGGGTCTCTCAGTATTGTTTTGCTCTCCCTACAAAATCCTGTCAACAGAACAGAGATGTGCCATGTGCTCAGAAGTAGATAATGCATGTCAGACTCTGTTTTCAAAATAGAATCAGTAAGAGGATACATGCTGTACAGATTGTGTAATTCAAAATAACAGTTGTTTGAACTACTGAAAATGAGTATGTGCTTAAGGAACAGTTACAAATGTTAGTCTAGAAAGTTTGTTTTGGCTAACACATTTTACCTTAATATGATGGGTGGAAGGCAGTGGGTATAATCATAGATGGCTTTGGATTATGAGAGTGCTTGTTATACATTTCTTTTTTATAAAATATATAGCTTGGTTGTTTTTTACCTCCGTTTTTCCACTCCCTGATGATTTACGACATGGCATTTATATAGGCAGTTGTGTGTTGCGAAAACAATGCTGAGCTTGCAGCTTTATTTTAATTCTAAAGCTGAACTGGTTTTAAGATGGAACTTAACCAGCTTCGGAGAAGAGCTATGTGATGTGAGTCACTGCAGGAGAAAGAAGGGGATTAGGAGTTGTCAGTGCCATGCTCTACAGTGGAGACAAACCAACAAAATGGCTGCAATGAGTTCTTTACCTGAGATGTGTTTTTTCTTAATTAAAGAAGGCTGCCTATGTAATTAAAAAATATGTCAGTCTTGCCAAGAGAGAACAGCTTTTTAAATTAATGTAGTCAAAGAGCTCGCTACTCCTCAAGCTTTGCATCCAACCCCCCCCCCCCAAGTTGCAGAAATTTATTGACTACAAAGTTATGAAGTATGGGCTGAGTCTCCTCAAAGGACCAGGGATTATATCCTGCTGCCATAGATCATGAAGAGAGTTGGGTTGCTGGTTTGTTTTCAACATCTAGACAAAGACAGCTTATTTTTACAGTAGTATTATCTTCTTTTAGTTGAGATCCATACTATATGCTTCGCTCATTTAAGGCTGGCTAACTTCATTAGAAGTTACTTTATAAAAAGACTTGCCTTTTGCTACGATTTCAGACGGTTCGTCTAAAAGCAACACAATGGCAGAAGAGAAAGCACAGGGAGGAAAGGTTTGAGCTTTTCCTAAATTTCAGCAGAAATTAACTTCTCCTTTTTTTCATACGTCTCCAAAGGTTAGTAGGATAAGAGTTCAATATACCACTAGCTTCATTTCCTGAGAGAAATCCAAGTGTGATACAAAAATAGTATGTAAATACTACTGTGGTCACCAACAGGATGCTGTAAAAAATGTGGTGGTGGGAAAATCTGAGGGTAGATAACAGCTGTGACCAAGAGAAACCTCACTCTCTTCGTGCATGGAATTTCCTACTACACTTTCACCTATTCAGCAAATTACACAAGTTTTACACTCACATAGTAACAAAATCCTCTCTGTATTTGATTCAGCTCATTACCTCCAGAAGCATCTTCAGAATGATGATGATGAAGATGATAATAATGATAATAATCATATCCAATGTGAAAAGTTACTATCATCTTGAAAATTCGTACAGATGTAAAACCATAATCCAATTCAATTATTTATGTACTTCACTTTTAATGATCACTGTTCAGTTTATAAACATTTTCTTAGACAAAACTATAAAAGACTATGTAGGTTCCCATTCCTTTTACAAGTTTGACAGTAAGAAACAGCTTTTTAACAAGACATTCAGTACACTTCTTCATAAAAAATAAAGCTACAGCATCCAGTGGGAACTCAGAAATTAAATAAACCATTTTTTACTTAGGTCAAACAAATTCACATAATACGTACCTGCAGAAGTAATCTCTCAAAGGCAAGGAAGTTGTCCCATTTGGAAGTCTGGGGGTGTTTCAAAGTCTGGATCGTGGCCAGCACAAGCTGCAGAAGACCACAATGGTTCTCCAATGCTCTGAGATTGTTTTTGAAAAGCTTAATGTAGGAGCTGAGCTGTTCTGGGGTGACTCTGCCTGTGGAAAGGAAAACAGGATACAGCACTCACTGGAGGTAAATACAAAGCTACATTTTTTTAATTATAGTGAATGGGTTATAGAGAACTTTAAAGGCTTTCTCCACTATGGCCTAATCATTTAAGATAGGAAAATAATACCTGACGACTACTTCTAAGCAAGCTTTCTATTTTTATCAAAAGCCCAATAGGAATTTGCAGGCCTTTTACCTTGCACCAAACCCACACCCTCCAGTGCTTCCTAAGGGTGCATTTTTGATCAGTTTTGACTCAAAAAATAGAGATATTTTTAGTGATTCAAGGAACTGTTTTCTGAAGCTGTTCTTGGAAGGGACAGTTCTAAGGCGTGACTCTTCAAGTTTCTAAGATGCAGTAAGCGTAGCATGATTTCACTTGTTATTTGAAACTAAACACCCCAGTGCCCATATGCCCATAGATCTGCCTCTAATAGAAGAGCATGAACAAAGTCATTCAGGCCACACAGACACTACAGAACTAGAAGTTAACAATACTGAAGTGCCAGTTAAACTGCTCGATCAATTTGTATTTTAGAAGTGATCTGTTCCAGGGAGGAAGGTCCATAGTACCTCATCTGCCCCAAGAAAACCCTCACGGCGATCACATATGCCATCAACATGCAAGGAAAAATGGTGGCAAAACACCATCCTAATTGCAAGTCTGAACTGAAATCCAGTCGAGGGCTGGTTCCTGGCAATCTCTGCCAGTTACAAGTCAACTTCCTCAAGCAGATGAGACCTAAAGAGCAAGGACATGTGAAAAGGAGTGAGGAGGATCCTTTAACTTAACCAGGGCAAGCTTTGGTTCCAGGAAGGCAGTAGGCTGAGCTGACGCTAGGCGGTTCAGGGCTTACATCACTGCTCATTTTACTCCGTCTTTTTCCACAACAGAAAGATCTTGTAAGACTGTCACTGTGTTTCTTCTCTGTGTTTGGTTATATCATCACTTTACAGGGCTTTCCTTCTGCCTCCATCCTTTCAGTATCATATAAATGGCAAATAAATGATGCCAGCTGTGAATAAATGTTGAAAGAACTTTCTCTTCATTTCAGTGATACCAAGATTGGTCTTTGGAAGAGCATATAGTTTAGGGAAAGCTTCTAAATAAAGCAAAAACACACAGGCTCTTTATATGAATTTTAACAGAAAGCATCAAACCAAAAAATCAGCAAATGAACACACAAATCAAGCTGACAGCACTCAGTAGGCCGGAGAGCTGACAAAAGGCTTCCACGGTTAGCCCGCACCAGCTAAAACAGCAACCACAACCATGTGTGTTTTTAGACTAAACACTGGAGCTTTCAGTCTTGTTTTATTTCTTTTAAAGCTGTGTCAGGCAGATTTACATGGTGATTTGAAAATGTCAGTCCATGATGCCTTGCAGCATACCTTTAATAATGACTGCATTATTACCTATAGAAGTCCTGATACATTGTGGCATATTCAAAACCTGGTAACTTACTTCAACTGGGAGAACATGAAGTTGCCAGCCCTTCCCTCACATGAAACAATAAAATGGAAGGGCTTTCAAGACTTCTGATTTCAATTAAAAAAATTTATTTCAAGAGCTTTGTTCCATATTGTCCCTTGTGAAAGTGAATCCAGATGCAGCACTGGATCAGTGTAAGATCTATTCAGCACCATTTTAGACAATCAAATTCTTTCCCACCCTCAGAGTGCCACCAAAAGGAAGTCCAATACACATGTAAACAGAAGTGAAATCCTGACATTAGCAAATCATTAACAAAACTTACATTGGCATTAAAGAGTCCAGTATCTCATCTATGATACTTACAATATCAATGGAACCACTCGGATCCAGGGCTCAAGAGTTCCAGCCAATTTCTACACAGAAATCTCCCTGGACAACTGGCTAATAAATAAAACTGTTCCAGTAGATGAGGAAAGGAATTTGGGAAAGTGACTGGTAGTAATCAGCAATTAAATGACTCTTCCTGAGGCCTAAATCCTCATCACCTTCCCTGCTGCTTGCTCACAGAGGGAGACTTCAGCACAACAGACTAAATTTGATCTAATCCTAACCCCACCAGCCTTCTATTTTTTTTAAGTCCCTTTACCATCTTAAGTCCTTTTGTGTTGCAATGTGGCAGACAGGTCTTATGAAACCAAGAAGAGACAGATGACAACCACATCATCATGTTTCAACTGCTCTTCTAAAGCATGGCCACATGTCTGTGTGGGCACCAAAATCTGATTTGTGAGGACAACCTTATGCTGACAAAGGACTTGATCATTTTTTAATCCCTGGATGTGGGAAGAAGTATCACCTCAACCACCCTGAAGTGATATAAAAGTATTGATAACCTTTCTTGCACAAACACCAAGAATTCCATATTGTCTGGGAAGTAACCTTTGCCAAGTGTAGGATGTGTGAAATAGGTTACAGATACCCCAAACACTGTCAACATTGTCATGACAGAGAACTCAATAAAAACATTTACTGAAAGTAATATTTAAAAAAACCAAACAAAACCATTTCAAAGCTTCACATCTCTTCACAAGTACAGCAGTGAGGATAAAATGAGTAGGTAGTGACTGGGAATTCTCACAGCGAAATTCAAAAGCTAACAGAATACAGGAGGATGGGGAACAGGGAAGGACAACAGTAATGCTGACAGACTGATGATGCAGACATTGCAGGAATGAATTCAGCTAAGAAACTCTGAATGGCTAGTTAGTAACAACCAAAATATTTGTGCACTAATGCAAGAATCTTGGGCAACAGAATGAAAAAGTAGTATAAGGAATGAAACTGGACAGTACAGAAATAACGGAAACATGGGACTCGGTAAGAGCCAATTCCATGTCCCCTTCAGTCCTGCAATAACTGATCTTCAAATCTTTTGGGACAGAGATGGTGAATTCCACCTCCAACTTTCAACAGCTCAGGGCAGACCACAGAAGAACTGCAGATCACTTTCACCAACTTTTTAATTACAGAAGCCATACTTTGCATTACAAATAAATAAATAAATTGGAATAAATTATTTTTTGTTAAATATTAAATGACAGTTAATACTACTGTATTATAATAATGCACAAATGATGATGTGTACAGAGAGACTGAAGGGAAGAAATAATTCTACTACTAATAACGCAGATCACTCAAGTTAGACATAATGAGGCTGAAATTACCAGCAACTATTGGAGGTGTGTCAAAAATCCGGTTTTGAGTAGTGAAAGTAGCCTGAGTGGAACAGAAAGACTTTCACCTCAACGGTTAAACAACAAGTTAACTGGACAAACCGCATTTGTAGACATCAAGACATTCATCCACAACACGACTTTTTTCCATTTTAAATTAATGCTGCGGTCTGTGCAGTGTAACGCAGGCATCGCTTCAGGAAAATAATTATTTTTCAAGATAGATTTACTGGTAGAAGCAAATTCTTAAAATTCAGAATCCTGAAGTACTGGTTTGTTTTTGCTTTTGTTTTGTGTGTTTTGGGTTTTTTTACATAAAGATTTATGCATAAATGAGGTGTCTAAAGACCAAAGGTCGGAATTATTAATGCCCTGTTCCAAACACACAGTCCTTATTTTTTCATCTAACACTTCGTTAATTATATCCATAGGGACAAGAAAACAAGTAAAGAGGAAAGTACATTTTGTGACCAATTGAATAATTAAGGGGGTGCTCTTCCAAGACTATAGGAACCGCCAAATACACATAGCTTTAAGCTTTGTTCGATTTTATGCAAGAACACAGGCTGAGCTTCACTGGGTAAAGCGATTTTGCTGAGGTCCATTTTTCACTTGACAGAACCACAAATAAGAAATGAGCTTGGCACATTTATGTTCACAGGCGAGGTCTTTCAAGGCAGTAGAGGGCTGAAAAATTCCAAATATATTGCTTTCCTCATCCCCAGTCTCAGGAAAATAGACTTATCTCTCCCAGTAGCTTGCCTCACATCGTGTCCAATGCCGGATACTTGCAAGGAATGTAGAAAGCTCTCATACTCCATGAAGCCAATTGGACAACAGTACGGCTAAGGGAGTCACATATTTTACAAACTAAGTGAAGGCAGTTTAGCAGGATGGACGACACCCCTTGTGTCCCTTTGCTAGTGTAATTTCCAGATGTTACTATTAACTCAAAATGCTTTTGTACTTCTTAGGAAGTTTAACAGTAACTGCCACGAAAATAATTTAATTTCAATGTTTCTTTAGTTAACTTCAAAAGTCATCAGTCCCTCAATCGTTAATAAAGAAAAGAATGTCAACTACTCCCTAGTTCTTTGGAGCGATGAAAAGTAGGCCAGTATGAGATGCTGTTTGGCACATTTCCCCAGAATAAGGCTCTGGACCTGAAGAGCATTAAACATTACAGGAGACTGAAAGGATATGTCACAACCTTATTTCTAAGTGCTCCTCTCCATCAGCAAACACAAACCCATCCGCTCTGGGGTTGATGGTCACTTCCAAGCTTCTCTCTGTTTTCTACTGCAGAAGCACTAGTGTCAAGGTAATCCCACAGTCACAGGCATGAGCATAAGTGACAAGTCTTCACCTCAGCGCTTCCAGGATAAGTCCATCTCGGGGGTCTGAGCAGCCCCTGAAGTACACCCAAAACTGCACAGCAGTGATGGCCTTATGCTGCCTGTCCCCAACAGCACTGTGCCACCAAGGGAGAGCTGTGACCAGCCTTCCCTCCTTGCTGCCCCTTACTGACCCCCATTCCTCCTGCCACTTTAGCAATAGCTGCAGAACACAGGCACTGGAGGTCAGCCACCCTTCCCTGCCTGTCATGGGCTTTCCAGTGCATCTCAATTCACCCCGGAGTGATAGACTTTCAGAGGTCTACCTGAGGAGACAGAGCCTGCCATGTCGTATCTCTAAAGGTGTGTACAGCAGTGGCTTTCAAGGACATGGAACCCATTGAGAATGGTGACAACTATGCTGACATTTAGCAAATTCTGAAATAGAGGTAACACCCAGAACAAACAAAGCTGGACTCTTTACT